TGTGAAGCCTATTTATTTATTTATTTAATAAACAGACTATGGGGCTCCATAATATGTAATATAGGTAGGTAGATTTGTTTCCCCTTAATGAAAAAGTTATCACCCAGCTTTACCAGGCCATCCTTATGCTATTACACTTACTATGATTCTTTTCTTTTATCTCTATCTTTACAGGTGGTTGTTTTAACCTTGGGTATATGAGAACACTGGGTTCCTGGGTAAACACTCCAAAAAAGCAGGAGCGGAGGGGAGAGAAGCAGGAGGGAGGGAGGCAGGCAGGAGAGCTGAGTGGTCTGGGAGCTTTGGTGGCAGAGAGGCACTGAATCATCTGGATCCTTATTGAATATGTCCTCCATGTGACGTCATTATCGCCCCTCATCACACCCATCATCAGTGCTATTCTCAAGGCTCCAGATTGCAGGCAGGGAAGCGACAGAGGAACACAACCCGGGCTGAGGGGCCTTTGAACTAAAATCCCATGTGCAAAAACAGAATGAACAACCTCAAGGTTCTGCTTGGAGAAAAAAAAGCAGAGAAACTGACTTAATTTCAGCTTTCAGAAAGAAGCGGTTTGGTTGAATATGTGGGGATGTCGTGTCTATCATAAAGTGCACAAGATGTACTTGTTGTCTTAGAGGCAAAAAGGCAAGAAGCAATGTGAAACAGAACTATTGATGGCATTGGATCACTGAGTACAGTACCAGTAGTGAGAGTGTGGGCTCCGGTCAGTGATCAATACACTATTTGTTGCTGAAAAGAAATTCTCCTTTGAGCCTATGCCTAAAAGTCACAGCTGAAGTCATATTTAAGTTATTTCTATTTTTATTAGAAATCACATTTCAACCCAAGCAGTACTACCGTTTTTTCAATTATCTTCAATTGTGCCATGCATACAAAATCAGAATCAGTGTCCATCTGTTAGTGGCCCAATAAAGTTTATATGGGACTGATATCAAAGTCCTTTTTTGTGCAAGTATTATTCACAGATATGTACATTCAAATTAGTCAGCTTCAAATATCAAGCACCCTCACAAAAGAAAACATTAAAAGTAAAAAGTTAGAAAAACTTCAAATTAAACTACATTTCTTTTAAAATAGAATTAATAATTATTCCACTAACATGAGTTAAATTATGATTGCTTCATTATTAACCATAGGCACGTTGTAGATAAGTGAGGCGTTGTAGAAGCCAAATGGAGGTCACGTATGTCTTCCTCTCTCCTCACTGCAGCTATGTCTGTGTAAACAAAACCACCAAGCTGTCCTAGTCTTTATAGGGACCATTTCAGAAAGCAAGAAAGAAAAATACAATGTCTAAAGGTTTCCTCTGCTCCAGCTTCTCACAGGGTAACTATCTGATATGTGATAAATAGAGAAGGAGCGCTATCAGGAGAATGCCATGGCTCACAATGATTGGTTTCTTTGGTATAAACCACCATGACCTGCTAGAAATTCAGACAATAACGACTGAAAAACAAAACCCCATTTCACTCTCTCTGAGACTGATGTTTAGGTTTTTACCAGCATACAAAACTTGATGTTTTTTGACATAAAGGACATGTGACTGATGTGGATATAGCGACAGATGGGTTTCAGCTTTATAAAATGTGGAGTTAATGTTGCATATCACATTGTCACATTCAACATTTAAGGAAGCATCACACAATTACCTGTGTAATTACAAAAGATGAGGTAATTCAGCATTGAAGAATCCAATCTTCTCAGCTCAACAAATATTAGATGTGTTACTAGTGAATAAGTGGGCAAAGTGTCTATTTTACAGTCACCTTTATGTTTATCAGTGTATCAACTTCAATTCTGAAGAATGACAGTCAATTAAGTTTCATAAGTGATGTAACTGTCCAACTTTGTAAGAGTGGGAATCAGCAGTGTTTGCTCTGGTATTGATATTGTGTTATATTCTTACAATTTGTGACAGTACACAAGAATAATGTGAAAGCATAATGAAATGACTTAGGTTTTGCTTTCACTGCTGTGAACTGTCAAACTGTTTTTAAACAAAACTAAACATTAGATAAAATATAAAATATACCTGTGGATAAAACTGCAGGGCTCTAAGAGACTCTGGATTTTTCAGTGACTTTTTTTTTTTTTGCTGTTACTCATTTCCATGAGTGATTTGACATCATAATGGTCTTTCATTCATATACTAGTAATGGAGTGAAAATATTTCAACATATTAATAGAATAACATGGAGGAATGCATTGCACTAGTATATTATCACAGTTTTCCCTTAGCTGTGATGCCAGATGCCATCCTATGCACAGAATATGGCTATTGTGACCATTATCTTTTTACTGTTCAGCCTGATCAAAGTGTCAGAAGTGAAGCTTAATGTGCATTATACTGACAAAAATTTGCAGATCAGATACTGTATATGTCTAGGACTACTACAATGATGTATTTATTCCAGCTTTTCAACAAGAGCCCTAAAAAATACCATCAACCTCATCTGTTGTTTGAAAAAGAAAGGAAGAATGAGAGGAGAAATACAGACAAAAGGATAAAAGAAGGAAAAGAAAGAAGGAAGGAAGGAGTGGCATGAGCTAGGAGGTCGGTTCTTGCTCCCTGTGTTGACTAATGAGACTCCACTGTCCTGGGCAGTATTTTTAGGATGCTCTGCATGTCCACTGAGATGTGCAAGTCACCAAGGTGACCCGTTTTCACCATGATCAACTACAGAATGTGGCCCAGAGTGGCTGCTGTTTACAAGGAAAAAAAGGAACATACATCCCCTTGAAGTTTGCAAATTTGGCAAACGTCCTATCCTTTACCATGGCATCTTCAAGTAAAAAACAAAATTAAAAAGGAGACAAATATAGACCCTACAACTGTCCCTGTTCCAGTGAATGCACATGCTGATAAACTGGAATCACCTAAGGCAAAAAAGGATTGTGGATAAGTGTGGAAAGTGCTGTCTGAGTCACTCTCCAGAGCTCGTGCCCCCAGTAGTGCAGTTACCAGTGCGGAGGTGTGGTCCTGTTAGAATGTAAGCACTGGATGGTCACTGAGAGTTTTCTCCCTTATTTCTCTGTTCAAAGGGAACATGCTGAGTCAGGACGTGTCCCTCTGGGTCGCTGTCCTCCTTTCTCTCTGTGGGTCTCTCAAGGGGACATGTTGAGTAACTTGGTAGATTTATTGGAGTAATTGATAGCCAGGCTTATGGCAGCGATGTTCTTCAGAGCCTATGTCATTTAAAAAAAAAAAGTGCATCAGCATGTCAGTGTAATACAGAAAAACAGGTGCAGGGAGACAAAATCCAATTACTGTGAAGTTAAACAATGAGATGTGAGGCCCCTTGTTCGTCACCCGTGTATGCACTGCATGCTGAGTAATGACAAAGCAAACTGAGGGTGACAAAACAAATGATGCAAAGACATCTGTGTGGTTTACATCACCTTATTTAAGAACCAAGTGCTCACTAGATTGTACTGCCCTTCAGTGTTTCTGTTTTCTTCACTGGGAATTGTTCACTACTACAGCTGTGAGCTGGTGATAGCAGTCATGTTTGTGTTGTTTCCCTTGTTCAGCAGTTTAGTAAAGAACATGATATCATGACAACTAGTGACCAGAATTTGGTTTCCCACAAAGGAATATATGAATTTGGTTTCCCACAAAGGAAACCAAATTCATATATTCCTAGGTCTGAGGCTAAATGACCTTGTGCACTGTCCATATGTTTGTCATTTTTAAACACTTTAAAATTCCAGGTCCTTAAAAAGTACACTTAAGCTAGTATTTCACTTGATGCTAAGAGCTCCAGTGCAGATCCAAGTAATGCTCTGACAGGTAGCAGTACTTGGTAACATGCACAAAAATATATTATTTGTCCAAATAAATGGTGCACAACACTGTGCTATTTGTGCTGTGGAAGAGCAAACTCATCAAACAAAATAAAAGAAAGTGGGGGCCTTCACTGAAACCTGATGAACATGATGCTATCTTGTTTTGTATAGCTTTGGAAAGCGTTTTTCTAATCCTCTGAACCTCAACCAATTTAGTCTTGGACTGTACATCATTATCATGATGTTACTGCCAAGTCACCTGGAATTTTGTTTTCCACCGGACAGGTATTAGGTAACTGCTCAATAAAACCACCCACAATGTTTTTTCTCACCACCTGCATCCTCTGCTCCTCTTAACTGCCTTCAGGCTCCTTTGCTGTGTTACAGGATCCACAGTACAGAGAAAGCTATGGCTTGCTCTACCACAAATGCTAATGGAATGCAATTTACAAACTACATTACTCCTGAATGCAGCCCACACATTGAAAACAAGGGGAGGGGGTGCTGAGCATTCACAGCTTGGTGATTCATGAGCAAAACAGACTCCAGCCGTGACTCGAAGTGACTGAAGACCTTTTGATTGATGGGCTGTGTGGTTAAGAGGGTTGCATAATATTACAACACTTTCAGGGTGCAGGGAAAGCATCTTTGAGCTATCGTTCATGTTAGGCAGCAAGTTGCAACAGACAATATCAGAGATGACCTGAGAGAGTCTGGCTGAAGGGCTCTGAATTTAGAATGGCATTATGCATAAACATAAAAGGAATAAAAATCTTACCATTGCAGTGTGATTGAGGAGCTGTTCATCAGTGGTCATGGCTAATAAGTACTCTTGGAGGATGCCTTGTGTCTGTAAAACACATCAAACTTTGGGTCTGCAACAATCCCAAACCAGCCAGGTAACTGTCATTCATAGAGTGAACTTCCCGAGACAAGCTACACTATAAGGTTATATAAGGGATGAATTCAGTTATAAATGAAGCCTGGTTCCCTCACCACTTTTCATCTCCATCTCAGCATCAAATTGAACTGTGGAATGTTGGAAAAGTAATTCCAATTTATAAACAAACTGACAAGTGCTTCCACTGAAACTCTATAGGGGAGACGTACCTCGGGTTACATAAGCACATGGAGTTGATGAGCACAGATAAGACTACATACAAGCTAAATGGACTGAGACCAGCCAAAAGGAGGTTTTACAGAGTGGCTGACACAGTCCAGAGTCCCAGTACACCATCCATCCTGCAGCACCCCAAATGTTTATGCTGGGGAACATCCTAGGACAATTTGTACAGTCACTAGTGCATAACATATTGTTTTAATTGCTAACTTTCACTTCCTGGGGTAGAGCATTCACTAACTTTCTGGACATTGCTGGGAATGTGCATGCAGAGAATGAGAACTGATGCTGAAATGTGGACAGCACTGGCCACTTAGCCTTAGAAAAGAAGCTCCTTCTAGGCTCAGGCCTAATACACCACAGCAGACTCTCATGATTTTATATTAGTGTCAACATGAAGTTGTTGTACCTAGTTTTATGTTGTCACTGCAGTTAAGCTTATATGTCAATACGACATAAGGACCTGCCAACCTTTGTCCCCACTGTCCATACTTTTCAGGAGGATGTTGACAGATGGTGTAGCATTTTACAGAGAGAGCAGTGATCCTTTCAGTTTACTGATGTTCATTTTGTAATGGATTGTGTTTTAAATAGTGACCAGCACATCTTTACCTCAGACTATTTCAAATTGCAGATGATGAGATGGAGGTTACAAACAACTGCAGCACACACAGCATCAGACTTATAAAGACAAATCACGCTCTGTGAAGACGCCCTGCTGGATGGAGGCACTAGGGCATGCCACACACCAGCATGTGTCCAGCATGTGTCTATCCTTGCTAACTCAACTCTGTACTGCTACTGCCCCCTGGTGTTTGTTGACATGTTCTGCTCCACCTGCATCTCATTGTGTCTCACATGCAACAACATTCAATGGGTACATATGGGAGCAGACAATCTATCATGAATGACAAGTCATCTGATCTAATCTTTTTGTGAGATCAGCAGCCTTAGGCCCTGCTGACCAGGACTGAAGGGAACAGGCAGTGCTTTTCTGGGACTCTCAGTTTCACCTGCATGCACAGATGGGAAAGTCCTGGCTGACGGCATGCTCATAATGCTTGATACTTATTTTAATTAATAATTCAGTACTGTTGAGAGAGGGGGAGCCCATACGCATCAGAAAATGGATAGCATCTCTTCCTCTTCCAAGCAGTCTGCAAGGAGCCAGTATGGCACTGTGCTGTCTGGCAGATGGCAGAGCCATGCTCTTGCTCTGAGCCCAGCACAGAACAGGTGGATTTAAAAAAAACAAAAAACACGGTCATCTCATACAAAGACAGACAGAAGTGAAGCTAATGAATAACATGTTGAGTAAACTTTACTCTCATCATTTCACTCACATGTCCTCACACTGAAAGTGTTACCAATCCAACAAATAGAAAACAAGTTTGCAAAGAGGAGGACAGATTAAAAATGGTTTCTACAAATTCAGCCTTGTTCAGTCTGTTTCATATTTAACCTACAAAGTCAATAAAGTGGGCAAGACAGTGGTGCAGTGGTTAGCACTGTCGCCCGGGCTTTCTCTTGGTACTCTGATTTATTCCCACAGTTTATTGACATGCAGGTTGGGTTGACTGGTGATTCTAAATTACCCATAAGTGTGAATGTGAGAGTGGTTGTCTGTCTCTTTGCCTCTATATGCCTGCAATAGACTGGCGACCCACCCAGGGTGTACCCCACCTGTCACCCATTGTCAGCTGGGTGACAATGGGTGGGATCCTCTACAGGAAAAGCCATATACTATAGGTAAAAGCCATATACTATAGGTAAAAGCCATATACTATAGGTAATTGGTAGATGGAAATCAAACATTTTCTCACCACAGCAGAAACAACCAACTCACCTACATAATCACTTATGATTTGTTCATCTTTAACAGAAAGACCCATCCACTATCAGATGTAGCCTGTGGTATTGATTGTATGGGTGTGTATGTATGCACGTGTGAATCACTCACAATGGCCCGGGCCTCTGACATGAAGAAGAGTTCAGTGAGGGCTCTGTGAAGAGGCAGCAACACAGTGATACTGGTGGGATCCTGACTCAGGCTGTTCTCCATGGACATAAAGAGGCGCCAAAGAGGTCGCAGCAGCTTCAACTCACAGGCTCTGGAGTTCAAACAGGTCAACAGTTAGACAAACAAACAAACAAATACCTTTTTTTTTTTTTTAAATCTCTATATGCTATCTATCCCCTCTCCCTTTTGAAAAATCACAACTATATGAACAGTTTCAAAAGTCTGACTACTAAACATTTGTCAGTTGCATGACTAGCTTCCAAACTAGCTGTGATGATGCTTGTTATATACACATCTTGATCTTGAATTAAAGGTGACCACAGAGAAACATCATCAAATAAAAATGAAAACAGCCTTAAAATGTGGACAAACACCATACTGCACAGCTCAAATATACCCAGATGAACAACAACAGGCAAAACACGTTTGTGTTCGGTGTTTTATTAAATGATGTCTTAACACCTCAACTTCAGCTTTAATGATGTGTTTGCTATCTGTGTGAGCACTACCTGTCCTGGTGACCAGACAGTGGGCTGATTCATTCTGCACATATGCAAATTACCCAACACTTCCCTTACCTCATTTCCATGGTGACTAGCACTACCAAGAGGGATTTATGAAGGCTTTTATGAAAACCCTGTGTGGAGGTCAGTGCAATCCTGCTAAAGCATTGTACTTTGGATACGTGACAATATAAACCTACTGGTTTAAAAGAATTTCACTGATGATAGACAAAAATGCAATAAGCATGGAAAATGATATAATTGTATAAGCAATGCTGGTCTTACGTTTGGGATTGACACTGCAGGAGGCGGAGCAACAAGTGAATGGCTTTGAGCCTCTGGTTCCCAGTCTGGCGACAGGCCACGCCCACCTGCCATTCCCAGATGTCAGCAAGTGGCAGGTGACTAAGCACTTGGTTGTCAGCTAACATTTGCTTCAGTATCTCAAAACCTGATCAAAGACAAACAAAGGTGCAGAGAGAGGGACAGCCTGACTCACCTGAGGATCATTCTGAGTAAAATTTGCATTTCAATAAACAGGCAGGCCTGAGTTACACAGGCAGGTGTGTACATGTTCCAAACCTGTCTGGAAACGTCCTCTGTGGCCTCCTGTAACAGTGAACTTGTAGCCCCACTCTGTGTTGCTCATGTCTGACATAAACCTGTAGTACAGGGTATCACCTGAGAGAAACCCACACATAAGACATGTTGGTAAACATGATTTAATTATTATCTCAAATAAATGCCCATGGACACACAAAATTACTTTTTAAATTTTTCCTCACCAGGGATCTCAAAATCAGACCATTTCTGAGGAGAGCCACTGAAATTGTGGACATCCTGGAGGAAATCACTGCTGCTGGACATGATGAGCTCATCACAGCCTTCCTCTGTGTAGCAGCGGGAGTCAAATTTTACAGACAGGTAGATGGCCCCTGGGATGTGCACTTTATCCTGCAATGAGATGCACACAAACTCTTCAAACTAACAATAGCTCAAAAACAAAACATAATAGCTCATATAGCCCTAAGCTTAATTATAACACCTTCTGATCTGTAGTAATAGTGTGTAGTTACATGATTTTCATTTTATGTCCAGCTCAAAGCCAAATTTGAGAACATGACATGATATTGATAAGAACTTCTATTATGGCTGTTGATACATTTTAAAAAACACACCCACCTCAAAGTTGGTGTTGTTGTCATATGGGTGTTTGGACTCTCTGACCTGCACGGCCATACCGGGCTCCTCCATGAACTGGCAAGCCGTTAGAGACAGACTGCACAGCATACTCTGGCTGCAACCCTTCAGCACCCTCTGGAGAATCTGATCATTATATCCCAAAGTCATTAATCCACAAAACACATCTAGCGATATCACATTTTCTAACCTTTGGATACAAGGCAAACTTTCATTTAAAAATGGGAACAGAGCATAAACTCCACATGCTCCACTTTTTGCTCACCTTCTCCCAGAGGGGCCTCTCCTCCAGCTGCATTAACATATCTAGGATGTAGGCCATGTGTGAGGCACCGTTCAGTTCCAGGGCCTCCTCGCTCAGTGCTGCCTCTGCAGGCCAGTCTGCCAGCAGTGAGGCTAACACGTGGCGGGCGTACAGTGTGGCGATGGCCTGGTTGACCTTCACCAGATACTGACGAACTGCCCTGTTGCTGCGCACATCCAATTCCTTGTGCAAAAGAGCTGAGCTCTTGGTGCGCCTCTGTTTGGCATAGCTGAGCTGTAAGTCACTCTCTGAACTGGTGATGAGCTTTTGTGCCACTACATTGCTCTCCTCTGTTGCCTTTTCACAGTGACTGGGCTTAGACTGTGGAAGGAGGGCAGTGACGGGGATATATAAGAAAACCGACAAATGAAAAACATCCAATCCACCAAACTTTCTCTCTTATCTCTTGTCATAGTAATATAAATATTACTAATGTTTCAAACACCCAATTTCCTAATTTGTGTTTTGATGTTGCAACAATAAGCAGAGCAGAGACTGAAAACCTCTGTGTAATGTAGGTGGCATGTTTAGTGAAAAATATCTATTATTTAAGAGTGTATTCTTAAAAAACTCACCACGCAGGACACCACAATCATATCAGTGTCCACAGCCTTGGTGTTCCTCTCTTCAGAGCAAGTCCGCCTTGTTGCCTGCCACTTCTGGGCCAGCGAACGGATAGTCTCATCTGTTTTTATCTCTTCTCCATCAAACCTGAAAATAACACAAAGGTACAATGCATCAAAGATTTGATAATAGAATATGACCTTCACCGTGGTGCCTCATATAACAGAAATATATAAAAATAAAATTCCATTTGTGGCAGTTGATGCTGACCTCTTCTGCACCTCCAGAAAGAAGGAGTCAGTTCTCTTCATCTGCAGTTCATACATGGCCCTGAGGATGGGCAGGGGGGCGTTTAAGGCATCATGGGTGATCTGCATTGAAAAAAAAAAAGTGGCTTTAGATTATTATTAAATATTATTACTATTTTTTGCTGCATACTGTATATTATGAGCTGTATTCCTCATTACCTGGAAGCAAATCTTTGTCTCCTCATCGAGACCCTCCAATGGATCTAGCCTACTGGCCTCTGTGCCTTCAGTGCCGAAATTGGAGTGGTCTGAGTCAGGCTCCTTCTCCTGCTCTCTTCGGTCTCGCTCAGGGTCCTGAGCCATGGAGTGTATTTCCCTCTTAGAGGAGTAGAGCATGATGGACAGAATTTCTAGATCTCGCAGCAACCAGAGCTTGCTGAAGCCAGTCCCCTTGCTGCACTTCCTCACCAGCAGCTGGGTCAGTCCTGACTTCTGAATGGTGTCCTGAGCTTGTGCCACCCCGTGCTTCTACACAAGGGAACAAGGTGGAATGAGAAAATTACTACTGGAATTATTTTATATTATTGACACCACTTGCTCTTATACAAGTCCAGATATCACCAAGACGGGAATATAATACATGCTCCACTACTGCTGATTCCTAGGTGAGGGTAGGTACCTTCAGTGTGTTGTAGAGACCTTTAAGGGCCAAGGACAGAACCCAGGAAGCCTCCACAGCGTCAGCAGAGCCACTGTCCTGGTTGGTCTGCAGCAAGTGGCTGATGATGGAGGTGAAACTGCTCAGGTAGCGGCTGAGCAGCGTCTCTGGAAAGTCCTGGCCCTCTGACTGCCCTGGGAGGCCAGCTGTACTGGAATCCTGTGACTGGATGAGTTGGTAGTCCTTTACTGTCAAAGAGGGGAAACCACACAGAGGGTTAATTAAATGTTTATTTCTCAGTGTTAGCAATGCTTTTAGTAATGTTAGTAGTGCCCCCACTGCACTAACCCGTTTTCCTCTTGCGTGTCTTAACATCCACTACTGCGGCATGGTTCTTTTCTGTGAAATGTTTGAGCAAGATCATGTTGTGCTGTTCATTGGCATTGTCGATAAACATCGTCTGGGTCCCCACACACAGCACCTAAGCAGACAGCCACATGGGGGTCACAACTTGGACTGGAAATTCTGGGAGCAGACTGTACAAGGCTTTGCAGTGGTATGTATTTTACCTACCTCAGGGAAGCCCACCAGCACCAGGAGGGTGAAGAGGTTGGTGCGTTTGAGAGTTTGTGGCAGCTGCTGAAAGCAATGGTCAGTGAAGGCAGCAATAACTGTGGTCCACTCAGGACAAGCATTCAGACTGTGTAAAATATCTGCCACTGTGCACGCCCAATCCAGACCGATACGACTGCAAAACAAAAGAATGGAAGAGGAAAGATTTTTCACATCTTAAAATAACAACTGATGAAGGGTGGAATAGGTTTCTATCTGTAGTTTAAACAACTGCACAAACGTACAGACCTCAGCTATGTGAGAAATAGTCTGGTGTCAGTACAACTGTTGATACATTATTACACCATGGTGTTACTAGACTTAATATGTAATGCTGATAATGAAGCTAACACTGCACACCAACAGGAAAACATCTTCAATTCACACAAATAACATGAACAAAGAGACACTTTTAAAGTTCTGAAATACTATCATTTTATTAAAGATAAAAATCCAATGTCGTGACTACACGTGCAGCCTATGATCAGATAACTAGCTTTTATTGTGTGTGATAAATGTGTTTCAACAATGTTAATATTGATAGACGTGAAAATATCTGGAACCAATTTGCTAAGTAGAACCAGTTATAAATGTAATTTTATTTTCATCTTTACATTTATTTTTGCCAAGGTATAAAAATATCTCACTTTGCCCTTCTGGACTGGCTCAAATTCATGCAGGTACCAACAAGTGCAGACTGCCCTCCCAGGGCAGCTAGCTGTCTGCTGTACTGATATCTGCAACTGTATCATCAGGAAAATGGTATATACAATAATAATAATAATAATTGTTCCTGCTATCATTTCCTTTGTTTTACCTGTCTAAACAGATGGCTCCAAGACTGAAAAGCAGCTGAGTGGTCCTCCAGCCCTGGGTGTCTGAACTGGCTGCCTCTCCTTGTGACAACAGCTCATATTTGTCAGCCAGGGCCTCTGTGACAGCAGCGTCGGCCTCTGTCGGAGAAATCCGGAGCAGCAGCTGACCCAGTAGTCCCAGAGTGAGGTGGTAGGTCTCATTGAGAGAGCCAGCATTGGAAATGACTGCTCTGAAAAGCTGGGGCAAGATTGAGCTCAGGCTGGGCAGAGACAGGGTGCTGCCCTGAGAATAAAAGAAAGACTGTTTAAATGTTACCTGTAGATACTATATTCTGAATAGTGAACAGGAATGCATCTCATGGTACAAAATAATTCAATGTTTTAATGTGACAAAGTGTTTGTAGATTTAGTTGTAATCTGATATTTGAGATAAATATCTCAGGAATCATGTGACATTTTGGGAATTATGGTTTCTAGCCGTATTAAATGAGAAAACTGATACTGCTCTCATATCTGTCCACTAAGTATGAAGATACAGACAGTTGAGTTTAGAGAGAGAAGGCATCCAAACTCCAAAGTTACCTACCAGCACTTCTAACATAGATCAACTTCTTTATCTCATTTGTTTAACCTGTACAAAGCCAAAGTGTAAAAACAACAACAGCTCTGTTTAAAGAAGTGTATGTGTATGACTACTTTTTGGACAAGAGCAGTGAGTTCTTGGAGCCCTGGCTGGTTGATCCCAGGCAATAATGAGGGGAACATAAGACCCTAGGAAACCAACCAAGAAATACAGTAGTACACCACATAACATAAATGAGATACAACTTGTTGATGAGAAAGCGTTAGAGGTTCCTGCAGGGGAATATCATTACCTCTGGACAGAACCAGGCTACAGTAGCTGTTTCCCTGTTTCCTGTCTTTCTGCTAAGCCAACCTATTTGTCTGCTGGCTACAGCAACATTTTTAATGTACATATACTGTATGTCAGTGGTATCTATAATTGCTTCTCATCATTTCTAATGTTAACTCTCATCATAAAAGCAATTAAGTATACTTCCTAAGTTGTCAAGCTATTTCTATTTATAGAATTGCAACCCTAAAAGCTGGTCTTTGGTTTCACATACTGGTTTGGCTGGTGGCAGCATGGCTGCTAGCAGTCCCAGAATCCTTTCTCTAGAGCACTCTGAAAACACATGCTCCTGGAGGGGAACCTGGGGCAGCCTCTCATCTGTCTCCTTGACACCATCCACTTCTGGAGAGTTGACTGGCCCTAGTCCAGACTCTGAAGCTGAGAATGATTAAAAAAAAACACAAAGATCATTCACCCAGCTAAGGGATAGTCCTAATGAACATAGTCTATGATATAGGTTTGATGGAGGTAATCTCAGTACTTACGTTGGACCATAGGAGAGAGGGGGTCCTCGCTGGACACAGAAGGTGACTGGCTGAGAATGGGGGAGCCCAGGTTGTCTTGAGTAACCACCTTCTTCTTCTCTCCCTCTCCAGTGCTTGGGGGGGATGACACCTCTGGAGGAGCAAGGGGAATTGCCTTTTTCTCCTTAGCTGATGATTCACTCTAGTGGTGAAAGGATAATGACAACTCAGTTTTAAATTGTTTAGTGTTGTATTTTTATTTTAGGACATTAAAATATAGAAACAGCAGTTGAACTATGTGCATAAAGTTGTGCGCCTTTCTACTATAAATTCTCAGAATTTCATTAACTTGTTAGGCCTTAGCTGACTCATAAGGACTTGTAAGGCAGGTCCCAAACTGTCACTGGGAATGGTTAGCTTGTGACAGTTACAGAGCTGTTCAATTCTCTGACACCTCAAACCCAGTGTTACTTGTGGTAACACTCCACAAACACATTCTAGGACAGAAAATGAGCTAACTGATACCGTCAGAACAGGGGAACAAATAAGGAGATGCCAAATCACTTGCAGCTTGAAATTTCTACTGTCCCAAGTGACATTAAGAAATTGAAGATAAGGGGTACTGTGGACCTTTCAGATAAAACTGCACATCTGTTGGCCAGAAAGGCAAAGCAAAAGCCCCATATGACTGTCAAGGAGCTACAGGAAGGTTTTGCTGATTCAGGAACAGTGGTGCACTGTTCCACTGTGTAGCGCTGGTGCATAAAGAGCATCCACATGGGAAACCTTAATTGCAACCTCAACACAAAAGTCAAACTCTTAAATATTTAAAGCACATTTAATTTTAATTTAAAGTCTCTCAGTAGATCTTCAATATGCTATGTGTGCAACACAGTCTAAGAGCATCTCAAAGCTTGGAGTGATCTGCAGGGCGAGTGGGTGAAAATCCTACAGCAAGAATAGAAAGACTTCTAGCTGCTACAAAGAATGTTTACAAGCTGTGATATCTGCTAAGGGGGCACAGGGGGGTTTTATTCATTTTCTTAATTATTAAAAAAAAAAAAATTCTAAGTACATATTTTTGTACATCTGCTATAATTTTGCGCATGTTTTTCCGTGAATCTTATCCAGTGGCCTGCTGGTCTACACCTACTAAACATTTATAGACATGTATGGTGAAAATCCGTTCTATTTATTTTTATATTTACTAATATTATTATTAGTGCTCTACTTCTTGCCAGTGTAACGATCCACTTCCCCAGATGAGATAACCTGACCTCCATATTATTCTCTAACTTGATTCCTGCTCCTTACCTTGTCTCTAGGAGCTGATGGGGAGCAGATCGCAGCAGTGCTGCCAGAGAGAGATGAGGTGTCAGTGGCCATACTGGGCTCCTGAGAGGACTCGGGAGAGCATGGACACAGGTCACTATCAGAAGCTGATTCATTGGAAGACAGCAGAGCAAGCAAAGCTGAGGAGCGTAGACCTGCATAGAGGTTGGCATAGAAAGGTTTGCCATAAATGGACAAACCATAAGAATACGGGTTAGAAGAATTTGAGATACACTGTGACAAACTGATTAACAGTGTGGAACACCTCTTCGACAACTCCATAATTTGGAAAATATTGAATTGTTGCATCCAAGTTAATCAGAAACAGTGTGAAAAATGAATGGATAGAGTAAGGCAATGCTAATTTAGAAATTTGTTCCAATATTTTCAGAGATGTGAAGACTCATTATCAGGCCAAGCTAGCTCTATTACCAGGCAGCAACATCTTGTTCAGAGCACAGTAGTCTGTTGGCATACTCTCATACTCAAGGGTTTCGACTTCAAGTTCAGACTTACTATCGCTTACTCCAATTGTAAACAAGCTGTGCATCATGAAATGGAGTAAAGCACATACATAGAACAGCATGTACGTCACATCTGTCCAGCTCAATACAACACACCCCCATAACTACAGTGTTGCCAGAACCCAGCAATAGCCAGCTACTTTGTCTCTGAATGTGTGAATGCTTCATAATAATTGTAACAGGAGGCACATTGGAAAATGGACTCTGAAGTGGACTTTCATGTAGCCAAAAGGTACGACTTGTGTGTGTCTACGAAGGACTATACTGTAAGTACACATTGCTGTGTCAGTCAACATGGGACATTTATTTAACTGTTCTTGACCTTTAGCAATCACCTATGCTTATAATATTTCTTGAATAACATTCAAACTATCTGTGCAGGTTCTCAGTCATCCAGGTCATGGTAAGCTGAAAAAACTTAAAAAAAAATCAACTGGACTAGATTTCTAGGTCAAAGATGTTTTACCTCTCATCCAAGAGGCTGATTTTTTCAGCGAACTTTCAAACTAGTAACAATTTCAGCATCATTACAAATGCCAGCAGTAGGTTTTCATGGTCAACCAATCATATTGTGAGGGTCAAATTATCATGGGAATATTGCTTTTAGGGTGTAAAAGCATTATGGGGAAACTGAGTTGCCCTTGACATAGGCTTGCGCTCTCCAAGTGTTGTCTAGTTGCTTCTGTTTTACCTTGGTCAGAGCCAGTCTTGCAGTCTTCCCCTGGCCTTAGCCTCATATTTAGCACATAAACACAAGGGTGGTAACTTGTCATATAACATTTGGGGAAAAAAGTGAATAAGCATAGTTCCTAAAATGTTGAACTGTTTTTTAAAACAAAATTCTGGTTGGAACTTGCCTTTGCCAGTCTGCCCTTTGAGTAAGCAATCAGTGATAAGCTGGGAGCAGCGTGTCTGTAGGGCAGAGGTTTGGCTCAAGGGGTTGCTGCCCAAAGACTCTCCCTCCACCTGCTTCTCACTGCTCAGCTCTGATGTGTACAGGGCCAAAGCAGCAAAGAGCAGCCAGGAATAGTTGTGGATATAGGGCTGGATCAAACGGTGACGGTCACTGATTCGTATGGTCACCATGGGATACACTGTGATCCGATGGGTGGGCAAATGGCTAGAAATGGATATGTTAAAAAAAATAACTGTGTTAACAACTCTGAGGGTAACCACAGCAAACTAAGTGCATTTTCACTGCACAAGATGAAATCTAAAATATGTCACCTGTCAGGATATTTCTTTGCATTGTAGCAACCAAAGCACAGGTCAAAGTCTTCACACACGTTGCAGTTGATCCTGCTGCCAATAATGAGCCCCTGGCAGTGGTCACAAGCATATTCCATGTTCACCATCTCATGGTCATCCTCATGGCCTTCAGGCTTGGCACCACCTGGTTAAAAACACACACATCCACACTTAGGTTTCCACCAAAGCTCTTATCCAACTTCAGATCAGTGCCATTATCCTGTTTGTCTAAACTCTGGGCTAGTCAATACTTCTATGTGACTATGTACGAGTAGTGTACTATAGTGTAGTGTATGAGCTCACTGAGGAAGCAGGTCTTGCAGAGGTCCATGTCCATGCACTGCAGACATCGGTAGCGGTGCCAAGGTGCCATCCTCTCACAGCCATCACAGGAGATGACAACATTCAGCAGGTCACAATAACGTGCAATGAACATGTGCATCTGTGGATAGAACCACGTAAGGTATTCACATCAGCCTTTCCTACCTATGCTTGGCAGTGTTTGCACAGATCAGTCATCTACCTTACGATTTTCTTACCTACAGCTTGTTGAACTAGCATCACACACAAACAGCATTAATGTCAGAAGGGTTTTTGGGTTTTGGATTGGGTCATTTTATGATAGGAAATAGTTATTGTAATAACCAACATTTCAATGTGATGCTATTTAATTTAAGATATTTTATTATGGTACTTTTGTGCAATGCAACGTTAACATGCTACACTAAGATGGCAAGCATTGCACCTGCTAAACATCAGCACATTAGCATTGCTGTGGTCAGCATATTGGTATGCTAATGTTAGCATGTAGCTCAAAGAACTGCTATGCCTAAGTACAGCCTCACAGAGCTGTTAGCATGGCTGTAGCATAGCTTAGACTTGCTACATATTATGTTAAAGATAGTGTCCATTGTTATTAAAGCAAATATCTTTTCTGATGGGCATGTTGTTGCAGTTTGTCTTTAAATGTATTACTTTGCAAGACTATACAGAATCTACTCTACTACTGAAATATAAAGGAAAGAAAACAAAGAGCAGAAAAGCACTCAGTCAGGTTAAACAGTGACAGTGACATTTGTTTCCCCAGACAAATTCTCGTTTGCACTTTTATGTCTTTTACACATTGTGATGTACAGTACCTTTCTCCTGTCCTCCATGGAGTCCTCCTCATCGATTTTGTCATACCACTTTTCAAACATTCCATCCATACACTCATCCATCCACTCCTGGTTCTTCTTGTAGTCTGTGATTTCATCTTCCTCTGTCCATTGACTGAAAGTGAATTTAAACCAGGCAGGGGAATCAATCACTTTTGTAATTTAACTGGCTAGGACACTATTTAACATCTTGTCAAAAAATGAAATTGGGTCTTCTGCTAGCCGTAGCAATAACATCAACATGAAAAGCAATTCATTTCCACTGTGTAGTGTCTTATTTCCTGGGTGTGATATTACCTGATGGCAATGTCGTGAACACTGATGTTCTCCTGGGACATGCTAAGCAGGAGGTCAGGTAGCTTGATATTCAGGAAGAGAGCAAGGTCATGCACCTCCCAGCTCATGTCCAAAAGGTGCAACAGACAAGTCTGCACACATGATAAGGCTGGTAGCAGGGCTCTGGAGAGCAGTGGTGAAGGGCAGGTTATCACTTTTAATTTCAGTAAATTTATTTACAAGAGAACATGGTGGGTTACAAGGATAGAAGCTTACTTCTCATTAAGGCTGCTGAAGTCTTGTACTGCTTCCACCAGCATGAGCACCAGCTGATGGTAGGAATGCCTCACCTGCTCTCCGAGCTTCTGCCCACCGTCTGACATCTGCGAGAAATAACTGCAAAGCAAAAGGAACTCTTGTGTAGGATACCAAAGCGCAAACAGATGTCAAGGTTTTTTTTAACACAATGTATTTTCTTCTCAAAATATACCTGCTATTCACAAGCTTTTATTTGTCATAATAATGCTGGTGAATACTAGTGATCTCCAAAGAAACATAAATTTAGCACTTGTAATACTGTCGCCAAGCGCAGAGGTCAGAGTAATCTGTTTTAGCATAATTTCAAACTCTGGGACAATGATGTTGAAAATCACAAATATTTTATCACCCGAGCTAGACATTAGTATTCATTCAATTTTTGTCACACTTAACATGATGTACCTGGTGAAGTCTTTTTGGCAAGCCAGCAGCTCCTGTAGAAACAGGATGCACGGGGCTTGGAAGAGGTGTGGCTTTCCAAGGGAATGTAAACACTGTTGAACCATCTCCAGGACCTTGCACACACTCAGAGCCTGGGCTTTGTTCAGGGACAGGGTCTGTAGAATGCTACAGAAAGAAGAACCTGATTACTTGACCCTGTATGGTACAAATTACACAAACTAACTAGAATTACCACTTTGCAGTTGTATGCATCGATGAACCAGGCAAATTCACAGATATGGGACAGAGGTGAGGTCACTGACCTTTGACCACCAAAATCTAATCAGTTCATCTTTAAGTCCAAGTGGACGTTTGTGCCAAATTTGAAGAAATTCCCTTAAGGTGTACCTGAGATATCATATTCACAAAAATGTTACAAGCACAAGGTCAGTGACTTTTGACAATTTGGCCACCAAAGTTTAATCAATTCATCCTTGAGTCCATGTGGACAGTTGTGCCAAATTTGAAAAAAAAAAATTCCTCAAGGTGTTCCTGAGATATTGCCTTCACAAGAAACAACCAGACAGACAGCCTGAAAACATAATGCCTCTGGTCACAGTTAGAAAAATGATAAAGAGAAGACTGGAGGTCAGTCACCTTGGTGTTGTGAGAGCCTGGTCCCTTATAAAATTTAGGATGTGTTTGAGTATTGGGTAGCGATCCTTGACAGAGGGGGTCATGCGGGGCTCCTCTATAGATCGACAAGACAGAAGGCGTAGCCGTGCCCGACTGAACGGGGCTTTCCGGGGCAAAGCAGAGGGTGAGGCTGGCTCCCCTGGCTGGGAAGAGAGGCTCTCTGTGGAGTCCCGGTTACTCCGCCTGCTGTGCCAACATGAAGATGAGTTTTGGGTTTGAGTGCCAAAGGACTTGCTCTGTCCTGCCCTGGCCTCACCGCCTTCCTCAGAGTCTGCAGGCTGAAGTCCTACAGGGGTGCAGGCCTGGAAGTCCCCTTCAGAGATCGAACTTGAGCGGTGGAATAGAGCACTGCTACCCTCTGTAGCTTTGAATGAGTCACTGTCCTGGTGTGTTACTCCACAAGGGGCAAATCTGAACAGCAAGAGGCTCTTCTCAATACACATGTCAGCTAGAGAGAAAGACAAAACAGAACAAGTCAGTAAAATAATTTAAGGGCCCAGGAGTTCAATACTTATAATACTTAATAATGCCTATCTGAGTGGATCGGATTTGGATTTTGGCGAGTTCAAAACCAAAAAACAGGATTGGGACCATTCTGATATCCAGTTGGATCAGCAAATCAAGTCCGTGCCCATGTTTGAATCTGGATCTAATCCTCAAAAAGGGTAATTCAAAACAAAATCACAGGATTGGATCAGTTTGATCCAAATAATCTAGATTACCTTGATTCCACCAGAAGGGTGGATTTCTAGTGGATTAAGAGAGGAACATGTACTGTGTATTTAATTTAAAAGTATGTTTCAATATATGTAAGATGGTAAAGTTTGTAAATTGAAAAATACATAATTTGTAGTCTTTAAACAGGCTATGGGCTGATATTTTGTTTATTTTTTTTACATTTGCAGTGGCCTCTTGCATACCTCTCAGAAAAGTGTATTCAACCAAATAATGAATCTGTGATCATTATCTCAATAAAAAATTATGCCAATCATTAATGACTTTCATTAACCAAAAAAAAAACAAAAAAGGCACAAGTCCATCATCTGTGATCAACCTTCAAAAGTAGCTGTGGACAATAGCATCAACCAACAACATAGCATGACCACTCAGTTTCACATTTAAAGGAAAATCCACAGGTGGACCTGGACCATCAGCAGGATGGATTCATTATTTTTTAAATTACCATTCCTTTATGATTTCAAGCGAGTGTAAGGTTTGAGTGAGCTGGGGTGAGCTCGGTGTATTCACACAGAAATAGTGGCTGTGTTGACGACATTCCACTATCCAGTGCGAAACCAAGGGAAAACAAACATCTGATGGTGAAGAAAAGGGGTCATCTACAATGAAGACACCAATGAAAACACTGTATCTAACTGGAGGCACAACGAGATTTGGGAACTTCTGCTGTTAAGAGCCGGCACCAGAACTGTGAAACAAGGCTAAAGACGTGGTCGTTTATGGCCAAATTACAAACTTGCTGCATGACTACATCACGTCCCGCCTCCTGCATTCTCTACCTAGTGTGCTATATGTGTGAAAGAGCAACTCTTGACAAAGTCTGGGTGTGATTCCGCAGACATAGTCTGGAATTCAAGTATGAAAACAGCTTTAGAGTGCATTGCTTTGAAATGTCAGGACAAAATCTGGCTAACAAAACAAAATGTTTGATTTTCAAATTGGATCTGACTGAGATTAAGTTTTGAACTCCTGAGCCCTGGAGATAACAGTTAGTGAAAACAAAGGCAGGCTTTACATTTGGTGGAGTCCTCACCTAGTATGTCCATAGTAACTTCATCAGGAATCCCTTCTGTCTTGTCAGGAAGATTCATTTTGCCAACTAGGTACCTCTGCTTCATCTCCAACTGACAGGAAAAAAAGACATCACCAGCTTCAAACTTCAGTAACCTGAACATATACAAATTCAATGATATGACTCGTTACCCACCATCCATGTTCTGATGCTGTCTGCCAATGAATACACCTGCACAAACTCATCACTTAGACAAGACTTGCAGTCCTGATGAACTACTCATACAAAGACAAAACAAAAAGGAGAAATCGACAGAATGAGTCAACTATGCAGAATTACCACGATAAAACACAGCAAGAAACTGAATAAACAGAAGAACCTTTGCTCGGTGACTACTGATTAAAACAAGCATTTTACCATAGCTCTTCAGGGCATGGCTGAGGGTCGGAGTGTGGTATACCATAGCTGCCCATATGGCATTCACAGCTTGGTCTGTGTTTGGCCCGGCAGCTATCTCGCTCCTCAATGACTGTTTTCTACAGGACTGCATGAGGGTCCTCATGAGCTCTGTTCTACTGTCTGTTGGGTCCTCGGACGGGTTCCAACAGGCAAAATCCTCCAAGAAGCTCCTTAACTCATCAAGTGACCATGTATTTGCCTATCACACAGAAAGAAGCAACATAGTACTAGACCAATATCAACCAGCTGAGGTCCTTAGACAACACAGTGATGTAATCCTTTTAACAGTACTTCCACAAAACCAGGTAAAGCGAGTTTGAACAAACCTGGTCTGTAGATGCTTTGGACTGATTCATCTCCCTTGTTTCACACATTCCATGTCGCAGGATGGGCTTCCATAAAGGAGAAGACTGAACATGGGTCATTTTTCCTGATGGAAGTTCCTTTATGGTGCGTATCTCTGGAATAGACAGCAACCCACAAAAATCAGCATTTCAGTTGTTCACTGGGGGTCTAAAAGATCCTTGAGTAAAATACAGTTCTAAAGTGGCTTGAAATTATTGTATATCAAATATGTTTAATCACGTATGAATCTGGCAAGAGATGGTCATGTTAGCCCCAAATGTACAAGATTAGAAATGTTCTGACTGTGGTCTAACAGAGTCAATCCAAAAATATTGTTGATAACAGTAGAAAAAAAACAGTTTCACCATGAGGGGATTTCAGCGCCAGTGTTCTAGATGCGAGACGGCCCATCAGACGAGCCACCAGCAGCTGCAGGTCTGACATCCAAGAAATGGTGATGTCTGGCAGACCCAGAGCTCTCACCGTGAACTTGTAACCCCACTCGGTGTTACTGCTATCAGAGTGGAAAAGGAACTGGAGCTGAGGGCCAGCATCAAATGTCACTTTCTGAAGGAGCAAAGAAAAATAACAGATATAGATATAGGAATTAAGTAACAACAGAGTTTTGTGTGGACACATTAAAGGGGTTTCCCCATATCCTACCTTTGGCCACTTCTCAGTTCCAACTTTCATATCATAGCGGATCTTCCCACCTCTAGAATCTGTGAATTCTAGGTAGTCATATCTGTGAATATCAAGAGCAGAGAGGATAAGCAAATAAAATCATCACAAGGGATAAAAAAAACAAACAAACTGATGAATATTTTATACAGGCCACCTCTTCTCTGTCTCACAGCGTTCATCAAACTCCACCTCAAAGGAGGTAGTGCCCGGGCAGGCAAAGATGCTGGTTTCATGGCGGCTGTTCTCATAGTTGTGAGGGGACTCCTTGTTCCAGGTCCTCAGCACCACTGGCTGCTGGGGCTGGTGCCAGCTCTCCTGATCCACCTAAACAGTGACATGGTATGCAATTACTGTGCCTTAGATGAACAATTAAATATATTTACTCAACTACTATACGCAAGTGTAAATTTTATTTTACTTTTATTTACTTTGATTCCTTTTAAGGCACTTTACACTTCTACTCGAAAGAAAATAATCCCCTCTTTACAGCTCTATATTTATCTGACAGCGATGGTTACTGGTCACAGATAAGATTCTACGTTCGCCAACACATGAGCTTATAAAATTTGTTCCCCTTCTGTACTGTATATTAAACTGTCCAACAGTATATAAAACAGCTCAAAGGTCCATTTCTTCAAACAAGAACAACAAAGTGCAATTTACAGATTATTGCATCAGTAACAATAATCCAGTAATATATAACAGTGTAACAGTCACAGAGGTCAGAGTGGATTTTGCTAATAGTACATCCATAGTTTTAACACAGGACTTTTTCTTGTATTGCAGTATTGCTACAATCTGACAACTTCTACCACCACTGGTTACTGGTATGCATAAATTATAGTACACTAAGGTCTAAGGTGAGAATAGACTGACCTTAGAAAAGATGTCTCCAGTAGCACTGGATAAGCTTTTGAGTAGCTCGACCAGACAAGAGAAGCTCTTCAGCAGCACACTGTGAGGGATGTCCAAAGAGCACAGCTCCAGGAGGAAAATCATCTGCCAAGACCAGAACAAATATTGTTTCATTTCAGATTAGCCAAGCCTGTAACTGTGCTGGAAGGCAATTAAACAGTCAGGAGATTAGAGTGCATTACCAGCTGTCTGAAGACTGTGGCTAGGATGGAGCTGCCTAGTTTGTCAGTAATTTCAGCACTGGTGTACCTCTCCATCATGGAGCCAAGGGTTGTCTTTATGCTTCCCAAAAACTGATCCACATCTGTTGAGAGAGCGGCTGAAGTGAACCATTCTGTCATTCATTCTTGTTCATAAAATAATTTTACTCAGCAAATACTTTGTCCTGTTGGACTATCACACTATCTGGCTGTGTGCTCTTGCTATATTGTCCCCCTACAGACACAAAATCTAACCCTGAAAACAGAAACCTGTCAGAAGCTCATTTGAGTCAGCAATGGGACACTGCCAATATATATCTCACACTGTAGTAGGATGCCTCTGGCCAGCTCCATAGATATAGCCGTGGAAGCTGCTCCTTTGAGCTGTAGGTAGCACCAGGAGAGCAGACTACTCTGCAGTGCCCAGAACAAGGTCAGCAACACTGTCCTGCTGGCTCCAGCACTCTCATCCACCATCATAACTTCACACTGAGAGATGGGACACATTAGAAAAGCAAACAGAAATGTGTGATTTCTCATGAAGACACTAAGACAGGGGTATCAAACTCAAATACACAGTGGGCCAAAATTAAAAACTGGGACAAAGCTGCAGACTCTATATTTATTGAAATACTGAATAAAACTGAGCATGTTTTCCCTTCTCTCCAGATATATAATGCTCATATGGAAACAAACAAGTTGTTTAATCACTGAATTTGGAACAAGCAAAGCTTAATATTATAAACACACAATCAAATCAAATTTCAAATAAAAAACACATCAGTGGCATTTGTTTCTTATTGTTTTGTGAATATTTTCTGCCATGAAACCAGACTTCTTTTCATCCTCTCTACCTTCTGGAGCTTCTGCTTCATGTCCAGGTCCTTGTACTTGACTTGGTGTTTCGTTTCATAGTATTTTCTTATGTTATATTCTTTCATTACAGCCACGTTGGCTCCGCACACAAGACAAACGGGTCTGTCCTTTACATTAATGAACAGATCATCTTCCTCCCACCTGTCTTGAAAGCTCCTGTTTTCAATCTTTTGTTTGGCCATTTTTTGGGAGGGGTGGATTAAATTTGCCCAAGGTGACTAGTAGCATGAGGTTGCTAATGAATGTCAAAAGAAGGTGCTTGCCGGTGTTGATTGACGTGCCAATGCACTAGCAATGCATTCTGGGTTTTGAAGTATTAGCGGTGCATATAATATATACTGGCAGGCCAGCTCTAATAAACATTTGAAATGATCTCTTTGAAATGATCTCAAATATACTTACACCGTTGGCCAGATTTGGCCCGTGGGCCCAAGTTTGACATATATGCACTAAGAGAAGAAGTGTGGCTGTTGATAAATGGCAAATAACATGTTGAGACAATTGAGGTGCTGTGTGTGTGAGACAGGTCTCACCTCTCTTTGTGCCACCAGTAGCAGTGTCTCCATGACTGACAGTATAGGACTGATGTCAAAGTCTGAGGGAGCTCCTTTAGGTGGGAGCAGGAGAAGGCCACTTGGATCCTGGTCACTGCATAGCGAAAACACAGCTGTTATTAAATCCCCTATAACCTGAGAGTGTGCAAGAATAAGATGCGTTTATGAATCTACAGTACACTTACCTGAAGTAATTACAAAGTGATTCAAATGTCACCTTTACTGACTCTGACTGAACCTCTTCTGTAATGTTTTTCTGCAAAAAAGGAATATTATTATAATCATTGCTATTATTAAATTGTTATTGTGCTTGGTTTTTTAAGTTTGTTTTTTTTAAATAAACTCACCATCATGTGGAAAAGTTTGTCCCGCCTGACATGTTTATCAGGAAAGAAAACAGCAGCTCCATTAAGAATGGTTTTGACTGCTTCCTTGTGCAAAGAGTTTTCCACTGATGTCTTGCCCTCTGGACCATCCACAACTGAAACACAAGCATCACAAATATTACCACCACATAGATTTTCACAAATTCCTAAAAATTGACCATGACAAGCTACTACTGTTTAAGATAAATGTAACCCTTTAACCAAATTCTGTTTACTACTCCTATGTGTATGGAAGCTGACAGGTTCTTACTGTGGCAGAGGTGAGTGTAGAGTTCCCACACAGCTCTAACAGAGTCATTCAGAGGCTCTCCACTGCTGGAGGTGGATGAGCAATCTGCTGCTGTGGCTCTCTCATCTGGCTCTCTGTTCGCCTCTGGGCCCCGGGACTCCAGTGGGTTGGGTAGCATAGGGAAACAGTTCTGCATCAACTGGAGCAGTAGAACTCTGCTCTTCAACACTTCCTCTCCCTCACTGAGACAAAGATATATGTATGATTATAGTGCAACATTAATATATCTTAATGACTACTGACTGAGACTGGTCACAAATGGGCATGCTGGCTGTGGAAATGAAAAACCATCAGTGACGATTACTATTACATTACTATTACTCACATGCTGTAGTGACTATCAGTATTACTCACATGTCCCTGAGTTTACTGTAGAAGTTCCAGAAGAGGTTGAGACTGAGCCCACTGAAGTCCAGAAGAGACCTCTGCTTGAAGTGTGATGCATCCTAAAGAAATAGATAGACAGGACAAATGTCCAACAGTCTTCAGCAATACAACAAGACACATGCTCTCATAGATGTGAAGCACCCATTTATACACAAACATTCAGCTAATGGCACTGGGCAGACTGACTCATTATCAATAAACCAATGAATGTAGTGAATCTGAAAGAAAGTGAGTACAGAAAAAACACAAAGAAATACGTTAGTTTGGCAATTGATAGTTCTATCTCAAGCCTGTGGTATGTTAAGTGCTAATATTTCCTGTCATCAAGAGTTTCTACTTTGTCTCCATCTCCACCTTGCTGGTGTTGTTTAATGCAAGGTGAGAGCAATAAGGAAAAAATGTTGGAAGATTTTTCCATGTGGTTGCTGGTCTTGTGCTGGGTGGTGCCATGAAGCTATTTGGCAGATTTCTCATATATACCATGGTAGAACACAGTATATCTCAGGTTGTTTAAAAACTTTCAATATTCTCAGCTATAGAATTATGGCATTTAATTGTAATCATAATGATGCACTCTATACTACAAATATTAATGATATTTAAATGTTATACATACTGTAGTACCTTCAAGCAGTGATCAGTAGTTACCATGTCTCGTGTAAGCTGTTGAATGAAAAATAGCGTCTTGTTAAGTAGACAAAGGCCAGTGACAGCATCATGGTCGAAGCTGTCTCCCTCTGCACTGAGGTCATCCAGGTCTGCTAGTCTCTCTGCCCCAGGGCACAGGTATCCACTGAAGCTGAGCGACTGCACCCCAAGACGCTCAGCAGACTCTTGCCTGGCGCAGAGGAACTTCACCATCAGGAACTAGGAAGACAGGGAAACAGAGGAATAAGAGGTGTGGTGACTTGTTAATTATGGCAAATGGAAAAGCATGAAAAAAAAAACAGACAACAATGTATGTGACGCAACACAGCAATAAAGGATAAGGCTGGTGATTTTCTATATTTTGTTATTGTAACAAAACCCAACAACCGAACCCAAAGACAAAAGCCAACAAGAGTTACTCATTCTCTCAACACTGACTTCTTTACCCTGTCAAAAGCTCCCAGGCTCAAGTCCATTGGTTTCTACAAAAGACGTAAATCTGGTAAGGACTGCTTACCAATGTATGCTTTAATTTTAAAAAAGGAAAAGTTGTATATGCATTGTAATTTTTAAGCAAATTGTACTCAAACATGAGGAAATAGTGTATTTGTTGGGGACTATTTTCAGTTGTAAAGTACCCGTAATACACATTTGGTGCTCTATTGAGTATGTGAGGGCAGCAGGATGGTGTATGCAACAGCAAGTCAAAATAAACTTGTGCCCACATTCATTGTAATTGCCACACAGTGCAATGGTGTAGATCACTGGTATGTTTTTCCTTGTTTTTGGAAAACAATGGAGCTCCATGGCACAGAGGAATAATACAGGAATATCGGGTTTTGGATACACTGGAAATATCTGCATCAACTCACTGGTGGTTTTGGTCTTTTCATGGGATTTATTGATAATAACAAATACACAGAATATCCCCAGACATATCTCTCAAGGAGTAAGTGCTTGATGGGTGAGATACATGATACAAACATTAGAGGTTTGAACAAAGTACAAGCGTATCTTTAACTGAATGCATTAGGTACCTTTGCAACACGACACTGCTGCAGCTTGATTTCCACATCGTTCCAGTCATCCTCAAGCTCAAACCAGCCAATTGGCTCATCCTCAGACTGAGCTGGAATCTTCACACTGCAGGTCAGGTGACAGCATGGCATGTTAGCCATTCACATACACCATCAGGGCAGACCCTCATGCTCAGAAAAACTACCTAGACTGTCTACTGCTATCTTATTACACTGGATGGTTTTTTTCACATTTTCCTGCATGTAACATATTTTAGTCACACACAGTCTTCAGTGCTTATTTGATAACCATAGTTGTCTTCTCTTATTAAGGATTTATCGTCTTGTAAATTAATAAACACATATTAAGATCATAAACAGAAATGCAGAGTAAACTAAAATTTGAACACTTACTAATGGATCCTTACCTGTCTTGTATAAAGTCTTTGTAGCCCTTGTAGCCCCAGGTATCATACTTTTTGAACCTCTTGAAATGTTTCTCGGCATCAAACGGGTCTTCCTCCTTGTATGCAAACACCAAGCCACATTTTGCTCCAATGGCTCCTTTTCGCACCTTATTACAGAAAATTGGAAAGCAAGTGTTATGTACAGTAACCCCCCATCACTGTCACAAATTCTCAAAGAAATGTTGAAACCAAATGAAGCCTCACTCTGATCTTCATCTGAGTGACCTGGAAGTTGCTCTGGTCCTCTGTTGACAAGATCACACTGGCTGTCTTCCTGCCACTTTCCGTTAGAAAACCTTCACATGAACCAATGCACTCAGTCATACTTGAGGACATGTTCATACTTAACATAGACAAAGATGCATTGTTAATGGTCTTAGTTTTACCATCTCCAGTGGAGGATTCTGTGAGCATGTTCTCTGGTCCAGACTTCTCCTCTTTGCTCTTTACATCACAGGCCTGTAGGTGCAGCTGGAGGGGCTTCCCTACAGTGTAACATAAATCATTATGACAGTTTATTTTCTAAAGCCCCTTTTACACTGCCCAGTCAATGCAAGAATTTTCCATGAGTTTTCCGCCTCATTGTTCTGTATAAAAGCTACAGTCCTGGAATAGGGGACTAAAGTTGCCTTTCCAAAATACCACAACAACAGGTAGTATTTTTGCTGAGAAGAGTTCCCACCACCTCCTGTATAAATGAGACAAGGCGGAATGGGGGGCCTGCGGTCTGTGTGTGAGAGGGAAAGCTAGAGAGAGTGAAATGAGGAGAGCGGATTCAGTGAGAACAAAGTGAATCAGAGAATTTAAACTTTATTTTGTGATTGTTCAGCTGCTAAAGCAGGAACACAGCCATGCTGCTGCACAACCCTGCGGGAAGGATTTTATGTGAATGCAGGCAAAACACATGTTTCTGTCTGTTCTGAAGTGAGGTGCATTTTGTGTGTGCAGCCCTGCCCTCAGATACACAGACCTGAAACTGAATGCATGTAGTAGCCTACTGTAATTCCATTTATAAATACATCAAACAAAATCAGATAACAATCCGTTTGTTTTGTTTTCATACTGGCCACGAAGTCCACGGCCCATCTGATGTCACGGCTCTAGTACTGAGATTCTGGAAGCTGTGTAAAATGAATACAGTAGCAGCAGTTTGCTGGCTTTTTTAAGTTCAGTGTATAAGGGCTTAAATCAAAAAAGCTGCCTTGAAGGAGTTTCAAAATGCCAGCTGTTTTTTGTGATCTCTGTATAAAAGGGGCTTATGACACCACAGATGATAATTTGATCATTCTCTATACAGATAATAATATCACTCCTCTACTGAGAGGCAAAGATCAGCGTAGCAGTTTTCCACTACGCTGTCCACTAATGCATCTCCTCCTTGTCGGCTAAGCACTTTCTCTCCCAAGTTTAAGATTTCAAATGTCCTCATGCGAATGAAAGTAAACGAGGACTGGTCACCTTACCATTGCAATAGAGCAGTCGCAACCTAACGGAGGCCATAGACATGATGAGGGAGGAGGCCTTATACTCAGTCTCTAAATGATCACTGATGCAAGACAGAGCCTGAAGGACTTTTGCCACGCTGCCTCTAGCCAGAGCAAAGGCCAGGAGGGTTATTTCTGCATTGGGACTCTCACAGCAGCTACACAGGAGGAAAGAAACAAGACAAGTTAGTCTTGGGATGAAATTAGTTATATTAAATATTCTGTTGTGTCCAAATGTGCCCTCACATCTCAAAGGATCTGTTTATATTTTTTAGTTCAATCTTAACACCTTGTTCACATGCCCATGTGTATGTTAAAAACATTGTCACTGTAACCCTCCTGCCCACACGGCATTATTATCTACCTCAGACTAATAAAACATCATATTAGCTTCAGCTGATTTTTAGAATGTATCTGCATACAGAATCAGGGTTGTGGATTTTGTCTCCTCTCACTTACACCAAAATCCCTTCAAGAAGGGATCTCTTTGCAGCCAGTATGAACAGAAGGAACAATACAGTGACTAATGTGCACCATGACAAGACTGTTTTAACACAGGTATAATAAAAGTTAACCTATCCTTTGAGTGAACTAAAGAACTGACTAAAGTATAAGAATTCATCGGCGACTACACTTAGCTCATAAATGACTTTCCAACAACATAAATGGTATTAATTTGTGAAATGTGAAAAGGCACTGAGTTTTCACCTTGCCGTTAAATATTTAAGACTGGCATGTTGGTACATGCCTTGGCATTTTTCAAATCTACAAACTCTCCAGTAGAATTAAAAATGAATTTAAAAGGGAAGGAGTTCCAATTTTACTTGGACAACATAATACCAGGCTAACGCTGACCAATGGCAGAAATTATCCATCAAATAATCCAGTCTACACCTCTGTCTAGTTTTGATGGATAAATATGAGGTCAGGTGTCTGGTTCTAACAGACCACCAGCCAACTCTGGGGTCCATATTAAAATATAGTACATCAATAAAATGATGCACAGACTATGGTCACAACAACAGCATGATTGTTTGAAATGGAATCTGGAGGTCTCATAAGAAAATTGTGTTTTGTCTGAGGGTTAATGGAACTGTTACCACCGTATAAAATGCATCAGTGTATAAACTGACAAGACCCTGACCACTGCTGAAAAGCTTTAGTATAATGGTAATAGTTTGTTACCACCCCACTCAATACTATGAGTTTAGGCTCTTTTCACTGTGGTGTTTGAGCTCAGCATTGGCATCAGTGTGGCAGCAGCAACGGGTAGGTGTGATGATGCAAGTCATTACTCTGCTATCCTGAGCAAAAATCCATCCACCTCCTCCAGGATGTTCACAGAGAAGAACTTGGGGAACTCTGTGGATGATGGTGTTAGGGACAATGGTGGCATGTGCCGTAAGGCTTTTCTAGAAGAACAACGCAAAAAAACCTTAGACCCGAAGCAAAGAGTGAACAAATCACTGCACTTGACTCAATGCCATAAGAACTGAAACATCATAACGCTTACTTACAAACACTGTTGTACTTTTTATCTTACATACAAATGCAAAAGCATGAGCAGTGCTTCTTACTGTGTGTTCTGCAGAACAATGTGAGCCAGTGCAGGGTTAGTCCCCATGGAGGCAGTGACCAAGGAGGTGAGGAGAGACAGATACCAGATGGCTGAAGCATCCGAAACAGACACCTCTTTACTCTTGGTAATCTGATAGCCCAGTGTCTTCAAGCCATGAATCCGTGTGTCACATCCATCGCTCAGGCACCGCTTAATGTTGATCTGTATGTCTGGTGTTTGGTGAGGAGATAATGTGATTAGCACAGTGATGGAATACATCAAGCAACAATGCCACAGTCGGTTGCTTCATCTTCATAAAATGATATGAATGATGATGATTAAGGAAGCCACAAATAAAACAAAACACTTCTACAAATAATTCATTTCTGTTTCATTGTTGTGATTTTGTAAATTATAACAAGCAGCAAAACACAATACACAGCAAACAGAACACAAAGCTGTGAAGGATTCTGCCTTTAGATTAGAGTCACAAACCACAGGGTTGCGTTCAAATACACTTGTGAATTTGTGACCAGCACTCAAACCTCTGCTAATATTCAGCTAACTGTTGTCTGGCTCAATCAGTTCTTACTTGACGTGACTGTTATTTATTCACATCTCACAGGAAAAGCAAAATTGTGAGTTTTAGCCTAGCTTTTGTGTGGCTAGACCAGTCCCTGGATTGGATCCTTTCAGAACTAAGCTCATGGAAGCATGCAGATTCAAAAGTGAGACACTTCACCACTTCACTATCTAAGAATACACCAAAGCTCTTATGTAGCTGACACCATGCTCTGTCTTTACCAGAGCAGTGCAAGTGAGAAAGAGTTTCTCTATAAGAATTAATGAAGGAACAGACTAGCCCAAGATAAATAAATAGTCAAGCAGACAGGCTATCAGGTGGTGACTCACACGGGTGTGTGATGTTAGCATTCTCCAAGAGAGCTACGTAGCCTGTGACATTGCTGGGGATGCGGATATCTGTGATCTCCTGCAGGTTACGACGGTTTTTCCCCACAGCAACTGACACCATTTGAGGCATGTAGCTATGGTCATTAGAAGCCACAGCAATGGCCAGGCGTCTCAGAACCACATCCGGTTTCATTTTTAGTCTAGGGAACAGAAAAGAGGTGAACTACCTTCAAACTGATCATGTACACATCAGTTGCACAGCCTTGAGTCACATGTTACCTGATCCAGTGTGAGCGTGCACTGCCATCTGATTGCCAGAAAGATGCAGTTTCTCCATTTGTCATCTTGTAAATGTCAGCAACATTGGATGAGGCTTCTATTGTGCTGTAGCACTGTGTGACCACCTTGACCTTGTCTACCTCTGGATCACGATCCAGCTCTGCTCTGTACTGGATATCTAAATCTGAAAGAGACAAATACAGATAAGGACAACTATCTCAGTGTCGTGCAGCAGAGGGAGACAGATGCACTGATAAGTATGCATGTATGTATGTGCTGTTACCATGTGCTTAAAATATGGTAAGGAGAGAGAGAACATTCAGAAATGTACAGTTTAAAGCCTGTATTCAGCA